GCGGGCGCCCATGGCCGCACCCCCACCCCGGCACCATGAACCCATCCCTGGAGTCCCCCCCCCCTCTTACCCAAAATAAATTATTATTCAAGACATAAGTGAGCACAAATTTGTAAGGAAGATAAGAGCACATTTAAATATAACATTTTATGTGTAATTGAACTTTGAATTAAAATATAATATTAAAAAGCTTTTTACTTAAATTAATTCAGTAATAAATTGATTTACTTGATCGATTAATGTCAAAACTTTTATAAGTAGACACTTATTACTAATAGTAACTTACTTATTTACATCCATCGGTTATGTTAATTAAAATGGCGAATTATATTGCTTTGCATTGGAATGGTAATGGGATACTATTTCTTCACTGTCTGGTTTATGGTAACTTAAAAACACTTAAATCAACACTTTCAGAAAGATCAATTATTTTTCTTTGCATGACAGTTTTTTTTACCACTTTCCACAGAGCAAAGTACAAAGTTCAAAGCTTTGGCTTTGATTTATCATTTACCATAATGACAAATGAATCTGCAACTTAACATGGATTTATCAACCACTCTAAAATTTTAATTAAAGAAAATCACTCTGAACTATATTCATCTAAATGGTCAAAATATATTTAAGCAGACGTGTTTACTCTTACGATTTTGGCGTACAATGTACGATTTTTAGATGTCTTTTACGATTGTACACCGAGACCCCAAAAACTACGATTTTCAGAGAGCCGGTGAAACAAATATTTGTGTCATTTTGTCCGATTTAAAAAAAAATTAAAAATTTTCGGTTGTGGAAGCTTTAGCCCTTATGGCCCCGCATTGAATGGACCCAGAAAAACGATGGGTTTTTGTATATTTTATTATAGTTGGACCATCCTTCATTATATTATGTACGCACTGAAAGGGGAGGTGGCGGTTGTTGATTAAAGAGATTGGTGGCATACCAGAAACACGGGTTGGGGGTGGGGGGGGTGGGTGGGAGTTTCAAAAGATATAAAAATATCACCGCCACGCATCCTATTGATGGTGGTGATGGTCTTAGTGTTGCTTTGCGTGTCACAGTGAACCAGCCAGCTGTGTCAGCAGCAATCTTTAGGCTAGTCGCCTGCCAACAACTTCACTCACCACCTCCTTGGACTGCTACTGCTAGCAAGCGTGTGTTCGTCTGAACCGCGGGGATTGTGAAGAGAGAAAACTAGAGGTGTGAGATTTAGTCAGTGGCATTAAAAAAAATATTTTAGATCTCGCAAAGCAGCTCTATCCAGAGGCGTAGCGAGCGGGGGCAGGAGGGGACAGATTCCCCGGGCGCCAGCTAGTTAGGGGGCATGTTTCTTTCAGAAATTTTCCCCAGGGGGGAGCACTTCAGATTTTCGGGGAAGGG